TTATTACTATTAATAATAATGATGATGATAATATACATGTTTATATATTATATAGCTGAACATTGAACTGAAATACGGTAGTGCAATTATATAATCGATTTAGCAGTGTTAAACTTAACTGCAATGAACAATGTTAAGCACTGTTGTTTGAAATACAGCCTGAGATGTTTGACTGAAATACAGGAATAAACGGGAGGATTTGCTTTTACAGCAAGCCACGATGGGCGGCTGTTTTGCACAGTTGGGTGCCTTGGTGAGCGCAGTGGCTCTTCTCCTGCTGCCTGGCTGTAGCCCAGAAGAGCTAAGCAAGCTGCTGTTGGTGTCTTTCGATGGCTTTCGCTGGGACTACCTCCACAGGGTGCCCACACCCAATTTCGACGCCCTGATCAAGGATGGTGTTCAGGTGGAGCGAGTGGAGAATGTGTATATAACAAAGACCTACCCAAACCACTACACCATGATTACCGGCCTTTATGCAGAGAGCCATGGCATTGTAGCCAATGAAATGTATGATCCCAACCTCAATCTGACCTTCAATATGGACAAGATGGAAATATATGATTCCAGGTGGTGGGATGAGGCAGTGCCCCTTTGGGTAACCAATCAGATAGCGGGACATAGAAGTGGAGCTGTGATGTGGCCAGGATCTGACGTCAAAATCCATGGGATCTACCCAACATACTACCTGGTGTACAACGCGTCAATGCCATTTCAGGCAAGGGTCCAGAGGCTAATTGATTGGTTTAAGAATGAGGAAGCAATCAATTTTGGGATCCTTTACTGGGAGGAACCAGATATGAGTGGTCATTCGCTGGGGCCAGACAGTCCTCAGATGGAAGGGGTGATAACAGACATTGATAACAAACTTGGTGTTTTAGTGGAGCAGCTGAGAGATGCGGGGATATTTGACCAGCTGAACCTCATCATCACGAGTGATCATGGAATGGCAGAATTATCGACAGAGAGGATTATTGCACTTGATGATTATATAGATGGAAACTTGTACAGCTGGATTGATAAGAGTCCTGTAGTTGGCATTTTGCCCAAGGAAGGTACGTTTCTTTATTTAGGCTTGTGTGCTCTGTATCAGTATGCTTTTTTCCAGTTGTATACTTGTAATTTATTTCTGTCTCAGACAAACTAATGTTTTTGTAATTTGTACTTTAGCATAATGATTTAAAAATTAGATTTCATTTGGATAAAACAATGTGTCTGTTCAATCCCACAGAGCCTGTATTGTAATTTGTGTTCACAGGCAAATTTGATGAAGTCTACAGCACCCTTGTCAATGCGAGCTCTAACATGGTTGTGTACAAGAAAGACGACATTCTAGATCGTTTTGGCTATAAGCATAATGACAGGATAATGCCCATAATTATAGAGGCTAAGGAAGGGTGGACAATCGTGCAAAACAAAAATGGATCATTTATGGGTAAGTCTTTTGGAGTTACAGTTTTACAAAAATCTTTGTGTTAAAGGAATATGCTGTTTTCTATCTTCCATTGTTTGGTATTGTATGTAGGTATTGTCTTATGGGTTAATCAGAACAAGGATGAATCACCAGTAATATCCTTTGATTGTCATTCAGGACACTCTTCTTTGCTTTCCCTTTTTGCAGCAGGTAACCACGGTTATGACAACACGTTGCTAAGTATGCAGCCAATATTCGTGGCCCACGGCCCTGCCTTCCGTCAGGGGTATGCTAAAAGGTTCATGCGCTCTGTGGATCTTTATCCACTAATGTGCTCTATCCTCGGGATCCAACCTTCTCCCAACAATGGCTCCCTGGACAACGTGGAAGACCTGCTGAAGCAGACGCAGCCTTCACAACCAACTCCCCACGTTCGGCAAGTCAGGGAGCCTGCCTACGCTTGGATCCTGGGCTCCTTCCTTGGTTTTACATTAGTTGTGGGCTTCCTTATAATTTTTGTTAAGCAGGTAACGCTACGGCAGCTTCCCATAGTCCCGTACACAAGCCTTCGTATTACAGAGCCTTTGCTTCAGGAAGAACTGCAGATCGAGTAGATATGCTTAGTGTAACTGACATTCTGTGTTCTTATTCCTCATGTTTTGGTTTCGTATTGTGGAATGAGAGGCCAAAATGTAACATTGCTTGTCTAATTCTTAGCTGGTTAAAAAGTTTCACTGGGGAAATTGCATTCTGGAGTTACAATGTCTTGGCAGGATTTTTGGCATTAAGCAGCTGTGAAGAGCCTTTATCACTTGGACTAGCTACTCTATAGCTGAATACGAGGTTTCACTGAGATAAGCTGTTTGGAAAAACACTGCGTTGATCCGAGGATAAAGCTTAGCACTGATACCTTCAAGGCATCTTTACCTGACTCAGAACATCCCATAAATTGCCTCTGTCACACCCCAAGGTAAAACTTCGAGCTTCTCAGGGCACCACACCTTAAAGGGCAACATACCTTCCGGACAATAAATCTGTATTTTTTTTCAAACTGGAAAGAAAAAGTGACAAAAAAGTGAAAAAGAAGTGTGATGGGAGATGAACGATGAATATGAACCTGACATTGACAGATTTACAAGCTTGATTGAAATATGAAGGTTCATATGTGTCTGCTGGATGTGTCAGAAGCTGTTGGCTAGTTTTAGTTACTTTTATTGTGAAATACTAATACTTATAAGCCACTAGATGACGAATGAGGTGAATGATCCCCATCTGCCTTGTTGTGGATAGCCACTCGCATAAGTGCATGTAGAAGAGGTAGACAGTCCGGACATAACACGTAGCAAGAATGCCTTTATATGTAATGCATACAGTAAAGGTCTGATGTTCCTTCAGACTGGAATTTTGTTAAGATTGGGTGGTATCTGTCTTTTCCATACCATCATATCTTTCAGACACCGTGCTGCAGTATAGGGTATTTTAACAGCATACTCAAAAGCAACACAATTCCGGTACATGAGAAGTCGTGGCAAAAGATTTCTTGGGTCCCCATGAAAAAATTTGACCCCCACCCCCCACACTCCATGAATTCCACCAACCAAGATTTCTAGTATATTGCGGTGTACCATATTATCACAATACCACTCAAACTGAAATTTAGTGCCAAGTGGATACTTGGTAATCGCTATGCTAAACGAAATTAGCAACAGTAAGTGATGACCTGTGTTGTGCTATGAGTAGTTGTACCCTAAGGTGCCATTTAAGATGTATAACTTAATGTATTCTTATCACACCTTTTTATAAGGTAGATCTCAGATTTGCATATTCTAATATCACACAATTTTAGAAGGAATATAAAGAAAAATAAATTATTGATATCAATAGGTTTTTCATCTTGAAATTAGTGGGCTGGCACTGTAGTTCCCATCCTAATTTAAATCGATGTTATGGGTGGCCTGTCAGGACTGCTCTGACTTTACATGGTGCAAAGCGGATGTAATACTTTTGACACAAAATTAATTTGAAGAGCAGTAAACTGCTTATCATTAATGTGAAAACAAGAACAATGATTAAGCAATGTAAACAGTAGAAGAAATCCTCAACATTTGTAATTATTCTTACCCCTAAAACGTCCATGGAATATTTGAGGATTAAAGAAACAGAAATGTCTTTCTGATATCGTCTATATGTATCTCTAAATTCCTTCTGTTTTTGATAAAAGATATGCATTTGGCAGGGCTAATGTGAAACTGATTTGCTGGATCCAAACAGTCCTCTGATGGATGCGGTGATAACACACATTGATAACTCTTTGTTGATTTTGCGTGTCTGTAACCTGTTTTTTTTGTTGTTGTTGTAATGACTTTTCTTTGCACTAAAAGCTAGCTGGGAGTAATTGTGTTGCGCTGAAATGAAATTCTGAAAACATACAAATGTGAATGTTTAAAAGAGGAACAATGGGCAGCCGCTTGCACACATATTGTGATGACTGAAATGCGCTGTCAACCTTCCTGTACCAAACATCCCTGAGCACTTTGAACAACAGCCACACCATCACCACCTAGGGGCACACACTGTGACATACTTTTTATGCACCAGAATTTAAAATTAATATATTTTTATTCTGATTTGTTAATGGCTGCTGCAGGACTTTTAAAAGTTTTCTCTTTTGGGGAAAATTTGGCATATAGTCCATGTCAAGTAAATTAGCAAGCAACAATACAAATTTCTGCCATATATTTAAATTTACAGGTATTAGTTATACTGAAAATGCCAACATGCTTATTTTTGAATGTATCTGAGCAATTTTTGGCTAATTATTTCTCAGGTTGACAAGTAACAGATGTCCTTCTGTACTGAAATCTAAATTATGACTAATTGGTATCTCATGGAAACATTCTGGAAAAAAAACGAACATTATGTGCACTATTTAGTCCTAGAAGGGAAGAGTTTATTTGTGGATGAGAGAAATGTAAGATCTAAAAGGTGCACCATGTAGCTTGTCGTGATGTCATCAGCCACACAACCTGACAGGAAGTTGGCGTGTTGGCCCATGTTTCATGTGTAAGTATTTATCACTGGATTGTAACAAGGTTTCATTTTTAACTGACCTATGCGATCACTGACCAGTAGTGACAAAGAGGTACATTCCCTGTCTAAAGGCAGTTTCCATGCTTTTTTAGGAATTTTCTGACACAGTAAATCACAATCGTCTTTGTGATTGACTGAGTTGTAGTTCAAGTGGAGCTGCATGTATCTGTTATTGCACACCAAAAATCATTGGAATGTAACAAAAAAAATTTGTTGAGTGATAAAACAGTGTTATATGTTGTCCTCTGAAATAACGCATGATTAATCTGCACTTAAGAAATTGCCCTAAAATTCACTATACAGGTAATGAATCATTTTTTTTCCCACTGTGATTCTCTTCTCACATGGAAAATTGGTTCTGATTTTTGGAAAAGTGTATACTGATACGTTTGTTCTAGTTACTAAATAAACCTGTTTAAATGTACCCTGATCTTATCTTTTCTGTATCCAAGTAGGATTATACATATACATACAAAACATGTAAAAATGCACCTTTTACTTTAAACAATACCAAATCCCTTTATTTTGCAGGTCTTGGACATGTGATCAGGCATGCTTGCATTACAGGTCTGGTAAATGCTTTTTGTTTTTTACAGCAGGTATAGTTTTCCATTTTGCCATAACTTGTCATGTTCTGCTTTTTAAACTCAATGAAACAGAGAGCTGGGGGCTGTCATTTAAATACAGCGACTTCCTCAACTGGCAAACCCCGAATAAACAAAGATGACAATGTTAATTCCTAAAAGTGCTCCAAAAAGATTCACAAAACCAAAACCTGATTTTGGGGGGAAAAAAATAGAAAAACCTAGAAAAAATAAACATCTTTACACCTGTAACTTTAACAGTATCACACAGTGGGTTTCAGAAAACAACAAATAAATATTTCCTCGAGTGCATTCCTTCCATCTTTCATAAATCATATAATCATCAAGGTTTTTAACACAGACACAGTGCCAAAAGATGGTCTAATGCAGTGTTTCTCAAACCAGTCCTCGGCTTATCCTTTCCCTCTGCCAGGGAGTTGGGATAGAGAAAAACGTGGACAGTCGGGGCCCTGAGGACTGATCTGAGAAACGCCGGTCAAATATGTCCACAGAGGAAATGATCGACGGGGGGGCTCAGGGCAGAGGGGTCTCCCAGTAGACAGCTGCATCTCCCACAAAGTGCTGGAATTTGACCTGTAAGCTACTTCACGGTAGCATAGTGAACGTGCCTGACTGGAAAGACACCCCCATAAGCAGAAATAATAGCATCCACCTCATTTCTGACCCCAGCTACAATAGATGCATACAAGAAAATAAAAAATACAAAAAACAGCATTCTCATCCACTTTCACTGAAAAAAGAAAAAAAAAACAGCAAATCCCTTTCATTTTCAAGTCACTTAAAACGAAACTAACAAACATACTAAAATAAATGGTACCAACTGGAGTCAACCAGATTAGGACACCTGATCAAGATTATAAGAACTACACCTCGAATACTAATCAGTGTGCCCTTTGCTGAATTTATGTATGTATTGCAAGTTATAAGTAGTCATTGGTTTTAGATACATAAACATCAACGGCTACAGGTCTGGCCCAATTGCGCAAGATAAACTAGTCATTCAAAAAGTGCCTTTTGTGTTTTACAATCAAATCATTTTTGTAATGAGATAAGGGAAGCTATTGTTTTCAGCATAAAAATATGACACTACCTCTTCCTATTTTTTTATGTCACATAAATTTAGCTTTGAGTGCAAAAAAGACAACCAAGATCTGACAAAATTCCCTTTAAGAACGTTCCACCATTTTTAGAGATATTTTGTGATTACGTGGCTCCGTTGCATAGTGGCAGTGCTTCTCAATTAGGTACAATGTGGGAGTAGAAATGTCACCTGTCTCGGGCTCCCTGTGGACAGGCTCAGGAAACACTGGCATAAATGGCTAAAGGTGCCGCCATTCGGGAAGAATACTAAAGCAGGGACGCTGAGATGACAGCAGCTCGCAGACAAAAGCGAAAGTGGCCAAACACAATGTATATTTATGAGGAACACAACCAGAACTGCATCGTCTAGGAATTATGAATTCAGTGTATCACTACAAAGTGGGCACTGCTGTCCTTTAAAGAAAATTGTTAATGGAACCATATTCCACACACAAAGTATATTCAAGTAATTCCAGATATCTACTATTCCTCAATGTAGCTATATAAGGCACTCAGGCTAACTGCTAAGTACATTTCATGTTTACTTTTTATTTACACTGCTAAATCTACAGTGAAAAGTGACATTCCCCTTAAAAAAACAGACACACACACCTGCATTCATACCTAACCTTCCTGAAATTAAATCAGGAAAAACCATTTACAATGTCAGCAGTCATTTAAATACCAATACTATTATACACCAGCAAGGTCACTATCTGCTGTTACATACTGATGCTCTCGCCAAGGTGCTCAAGATGTCCCTGCCAATATTCTTTTGAACATGGTGCCATAACTGTATAATATTGTTGTAATCTTATTATCAGATGCCAATTATCTCCAAAGGAGCTTGCACTCTGAATTTTGGGTAGGTGGCGTAAAGAAAATTATATCCAAATGTATCACCAGCGAAGTTTGAGTCTAGACATTGATAATTCTACCAGTACACTTCAGAAACAGTTGTCAAGTGAAGGTGCTTGCAGCTGTTCTTATATTTTTGACAAACACTACAGTTTCTGCTCTGTTCTTAAACCCCTGATTTGTTTAAACCTTCTGAGTATCCATGGTGACCTAAACCAGGACATCAGATTCAAAGCCTGGAACCAGTGAAACCCCTAGTCAATCAAAGGGTCATCGTCATCATCCTCCTGTAGCTCGAGGCGGGCGAAGGGCCGCGATGAATTTGGCACCCGGTTCCTTATGAAGATGAAGAGGCAGGTGAGAGTGGTGAGCACCATGAGGGAACCAATGACAATCCCGATGATGCTGGCGAGGTCGAGGCAGCTCTCACTAGCTAGGAGGCAGCGGGTGCTGGAGAAACTGCCATTGTTGGGCTTCTCAGATATTCCCAAGAGGTGGCACATTAAGGGGTATATGTCCACGCTGTTAAAATGGGGCAGCCGGTAGCCCTTGCGAAAAGCAGGACCGTGGGCTGCTAAGAAGGGGTGCATGCTGGGAAGGGAATTGTCGTAGCCATGATCACCCACTGCAAGTGAAAATCAGAAAGGATAATTAAGCCTCCAAAGAACTGGATCAAATGTCTATGCCTACACATACACACTTATGGGCAAAAAAACATCACTTCATATGAAAACCATCAAAATGTTCTTACAACGTAGGTGTTTCTCATTCTGGACGATTGTCCAGCCTTCATCTGCAACCAGGATGATTGGCTGAATCCTCACGTTGTTCTTGTAATGCAGCCTATCAGGAATGTCCGTCTTCATGTAGGCTTTCATGTGCGAGTGACACTTGCTCAGAGAGTTAAACACAAGAGAGACATCTGGAAACAACACAGGAGCACAGTGTGACACTTTACCCGCCTCAAAAGTAACAACCATATCATATGTAGTCTAAAGTTCTTCTTCTGTAGGGCATCTGGTTGCATGTACACGGTAAGGATTTCAAAGCCTTCTGTATATCCATTTTTGTTAAAAGTTAAAAATATTCACTGTACTTCTCACAGATTAACCTTTCTAGCTTGTACACCTCTTTGGATAAAAGCAACTGCTAAATAAATTAACTTGTAGGTAATTCAAACAAGTTACTCTGCCTCTGTACTCACTTGTACGAGGCAAAACGGCCGCGACCGGGGTCTCATCCACTAAGGTGTATGTGCTGGCATTCAGACACTTGTCCAGCTGTATGAGTCGATCTGGAGAGCACTGGGTCATGCCGTGGTCACTGGTCACTATGACGTTGATTTTGTCCCAGAGACCCTTGCTTTTCAGCTGCTGCATCAGGAAGCCGATGTTGTCGTCCACCTCCTTGAGGGCCTTCGTCATCTCCGTGACGTTGTCGGGGCCATAGGTATGACCGGTGTTGTCTGGCTCCTCCCAGTACAGAACGGTGAGCCTAACAGCTTCATCTCTGACCAGCCAATCAGTGAGACTAAGCACACGATCCCGAAAGCTCACTTTGGAGTCATACTTCATGAAGTACGTGGGCGTCTTGTTTTGGATGGCGACGTCAGAGCCCGGCCACATGGCGGCTGCTGTCTTGTACCCGGAATTCTGCACGGATACCCAGATGGGGGTGGCCTCGTTCCACCAGACGGCATCGATGCTGTGGTTATGGACAGAGAACGTTCTATTCATCACGGGGTCGTACATGGTACTGGCCAGGATTCCATGGCTTTCCGCATAGAGCCCCGTCACGAGGCTGTAATGGTTCGGGAAGGTTTTGGTGATGAAGACATTGGTGAGGTGATCCACGAGTACGCCATCAGAGTAAAACTCCCGCAGGTTAGGGAGGGGATACTTTTCGAGGTAATCCGCTCGGAAACCATCAAATGAGACAAGCAGCAAGGGTGAAATTGCAGCTGATGCATTCCTGGCATGCGACTCATTTCCAGCCTGAGTGATAGTGACCATGCTCGACCACGCAGCAAATGCAAACATCAGACCAGAGGGCGCCATCTTGGAACTGTGTGCTCCCAGCTTCTAAGTCACTTTGAAAAGGCTTCACAAAAAAAAAAAAAAACGGTAAAATGTTAAAAGGGTTTAAAAACAAACAGCATGAAAAACACTGCATTTGAGATGCTTATATCAGGCCTCCAATATGGTATCTTTCTGTTAAAGCATACGAGGGGGAAAAAAAATTACATTTATAATTTCCAAAGGAATTCCAGTAGAACTACTTCCCCTATGTGGTACTAATCTGTAGAATCAAAATAATATGATATGGGTATAGAACTAGTACATTTTCTCTTTTTTTCCTATGTAGTAGTAATCGACAGAATCAAAACAAGACCGATGATGGCTTTGGGAGAAATAAAAATAACACTATCATGCATTAATGTATGAATTTCCCAGGGGCTTTCATCACCAAGCTTGGGGGTATTTCACAAAGCGGGGTTTTTTGAATAGCCTGATAACTTAAACCAAATGCAAGAACTGTCAAATAGGAATGTCACTTACCTCTCTTCCTATTGGACAGATTTCACATTTAGCTTAAGTTACCCCGCTAACTGGGAAAGCCTGCTTTGTGGAATACCCTCCTGGGGCCTGTACTACGAAGGGGGGTTACTGACTTTTCGGGGTAACTTGTCGGATTTAAGGTAGTCTGGGCAAAATGTAAGTCAACAAATATTAAGTCCATTTAAACTGCGGTACCTTAAATCCGACAATTAAGTTACCCCGATAAACCAGTAACCCCGCTTCATAGTACAGGCCACTGGATGTCTTGCTTACCCAGATAACTTGTCAGATTTAAGGTAGTCTGGGCTAAATGTACTGTAAGTGAACGAAGATTAAGTCCATTAATATAAACCGCGGTTCCTTAAATCTGACAAGTTATCTGGCTAAGCAGGAAATCCAGCTTTGTGATAGGGGTGTTCCATGAAGCAGGTTTCTGTTACCTGGGTTAACTTAACATAAAAGTCATGACTGTCCAATAGGAATGATCCTTACATAAACTGTTAACTTAGCTAACTGAGAAATTCTGCTCTGTAGAGCACCTCCCAGTTCTAGTAGTTATTTTTTGCCATTTAAACTGAAAGTTGAACCTTTTGCATTAATCTAAACTGCTTTCATCCATTCAAAGCTCTGCCTATTCATGGGAATATGCACAGGTAACAGACTGAGGAACAGACACAAGGAGGAGAAAGGTACACTTTGTCAAGGCATGTTTCTTGCTTTTTCCAAGCAATTTTTTTCCCCCTGAAACAAACTATGCAACCCAGGCTATACTGCTTTCAGTTTTCAAGTGGATGTGTTTAAAAAAATAGGGAAGAGGAACAACCTCAACGCAAGGAAAAAGAAAATGGCAGGGGCACAAACGCCACTCAGATTTCACATTTACACAAATGATCCTTTCAACTTGGTGCTTTCTTAATTTAAAACTTTAATTAAACTCTTTGGTTTCATTAAAATAGCTTCCGTGATAATACCCTAATAATAAGCTTACCTTCCACACCTGTGTGAGCGTTTTGTAACTTGCGAGTAGGCCCTTTTGTTTCTGGTACAAGAACCCTACTCATAGTTAAACGAAAACCAAGACGGGAAGCAACGTTACCTTTCTGCTATTTACCCGAATTATTTATGAGAATTTACATCTCTGTATAAATGTTTGATTCAAAAAGTTCAACATGGCAGATACTTTTAAGACTATTAAAATACCCACGCTTCTAAAATTATTGTCGAATGCCAGGAACCCACCTATGTCTCCAGCTTATTTTAAATCGTAAAGGCCCCCGCTTTGTGGTCCTGCGGGGAGAGATGCTGCGCTCTACCGTCCGACACCGAAAGGTCACTTTTAATTTAACCTAGGGCGTCGTGTTTGGGCTACTTTAAGGAAATTAACATCATCGCATGCCCTTAAATCTACTCAAATGAAAGAGAATTTCCGTGAAATATTAAATTTAAAGCAATCACCCGGGCCTTAGGTAACTAAATTTTGTACCAGTGGGTTTTCATGCGGAAGCGGGTGGTTGTTTGCTCAGAATATTCCGCTATTGTTGTTTTTTATTATATCGAAATCGGGCTTTTCCGGGTCTGTGCCCAGAATCAGTTCATAGTTATGTAATTTATCAAAACTGTACCTTTTAATGACAAACCTTTTGTTATAAAAACAAAAGCTCTCACTCTGTAACACATTTTAAGAGTACTGTTAATAAATTACATACGATGGAACGTTTTGTTTACGCAAGAAAATGCGTGATAAAATAAAGCATATCATATTATCTAGCTAGGTTAGTTCGGATAAAGCAGGTTTGCGGAAACGACAGGCGATCGCATAAGGTTTTGCAACGATTGAGTCTGTGCTGTTAAATATAGATCAGCTGTAACCGGAGCGGGCCGACGCTCAGCATTATATATTATGTAAAAACACTCTCTGCATTCTCTGTACAGGCCTACACATAATAAATTCTACATGCTCCCCACACCCGATTAACTTAAACCTTACCGTATCCGAAACTTTCTCAAAATAGCTTTTCTTTTTCTGCCTTTCTTCTGACGTCCGTAACGGACAAGCCGGTCAGCCTATTGCAGAAGGTGGGCCGACGGAGGCCGGCCATCCAGGGGCGGACCAGGAGCCGTATGGTCGCCCGTCAGCCTGTCAGCGCAGCGCGGCGCTGCTTCCTGTTTCGTTTTGTGGGAAAGGTGAAGTGCTGCGGGGAATCGGCTGTATCTGACTCAGATCTTACCAAGGGAAAACGCAGGTGTAATAAGCAGTAATGTTGCACGGGTGTTAGTCTCTGGCTTGACGTATGTATACTGAGCTATAATAGCCTACTACAAGAATGCATATTAATAATGTAAGCTACATTAAACATGATATGGCCAGACTACCTTATCTTCCTCATCGTTTAAGATCTGCCAGTCTATACTAAATTAGAAATATAGGCCTAGACTGTCTTTGAGTCAGTTTGAACCTATTTCCATTTAGCTTAGACCAGCCTAATTTAAAAATATTTTTAGACTGGTCCTATTTTGTCCTGTCCATGTCACATAAAATACCTGCAAGTATTTAAATAGTAATGGAATGTTTTTATAATTACCCAGAACATTTACTGGTTGATCGGGGCCTTTAATATGATCAGACTCTTTTCTGATACCTTTGGGTTTACCCTTTGCTGCACATTTAGCCACATGTGGCCAGGAACTGGCAGGAGGCTTACCAGGAAGCAGCTCTCACATGGAGGTTGCTGGTTCGAGAAGGGTAGTCCTGTAACCTGTTACACCTTTTGCAGAGTAATGAAACTTACAAATGCCTTTGGCTAAGAGTGGGCTAGTGGTGACCAAATGTCCCCACAATGTAATAAACACCTGTTTTTACCACCTTTTCCCCAATGGAATGAATAAACAGTCCCCACAAAGATATGAATGCAGACGTGTGTGTGTGTGTGTTTGTAATGTAATTTTCACATTGTGGGGATGATATATCTGATAAAAACCTTTTATTTTGACCATGTGGGGACATTTATCTGGACATTTGTGACTGCAGTCAAAAAAACAAAATTGCCAAAAGTCTTGTATTTTGTTTGGTTGCTTATAGTTAAGATTAGGACTGGGTATTGGTTAAGGTTATTATATTTGCCTATAAAAATGAATGGAAGATGTGACAAAGATACAGATATCTAATGTGCGCGTCTATGTGTGTGTGTATGTGAGTCTGTGTGTTGTGCGTGAGTGAAATTTCACCCCCTCCTGGTCAGGTGAAAATGCTGTTTGAACATATTAAGTTCAATAAATATAAATTAAACTGTAAAGTTATATTTGACAGTATTGACTTGTGCAACCTTGCACTTCCTGGGTGAGACACTTATAGAGTTGCCTAAGTGTGAGTGGACAGGCTGTGATGAGCTGGTATCCCATGCAGGGTGTTCCCTGGCTGCTCGGGGTAGAATCCAGGCTCCTTCCGACATCATACAGGATAAGTTGTTGGAAATACTGTAGATGCTTTATTTCAGTAACTAAACCTGTGCGTGGGGCCTGCGCATTGCAGTGACACTGCATTTGGAATGCATGTTGGCATGTCCAGTCACTGTCAGCATGAATACCGTATGAGGCAGTTCAGCTCAGGCCCTGGCAGATCAGTAGAAGATGGCCGTTTCAGCATCAGCAGAAGAACGCAAAGTGGGCATCTGATTATGGAAAGGGACAGAAGTGGAGTGTGGGAGTTAGGCTTTCTTCTGGGCTGAGAGGAACAATAGAGGGACAATGGAACCCGTTCTTATTTAGGCCTTCCTGGTAAATGTGTAAAAGTGAATGAAAGAATTTTCACCTGATTTAGTCCCTACCCCTGATGCCCCCCTCCCCTTCCCTTCAGTGTGCTACACTAGTATCACTTTAAAATGAAAGTGCTGCATAAGGTCTTTGCGAGTTACTTTTTCTTAGAATATACTTTCTATCTCAGCCCTTGGAAACTATTGCATTTGACTCACCGAACGTTATCAATGACGTGCATAGATTACTCGAGGGGAGGGGAGGGGAGGGGCTGGAACCGGAGGGGGTCGGGTGGGAGCATGGCCACCCGGAACATTTTTTCCGATCGGGGTGGGGGGGGGGTGTCTCCCTCGGTGATTCGTCGGTTCGAAAACGGACATTTGGATCATGGGGGAGGGCACTTTTAACTTTCATTCTTTTATTCGTTAAGGCGAAAGGGAAAGGTGTTCAGGCACCTCCAGCCAGCCACCCAAGGGCGTAACTTTTGGTGGAACATGGGGGGGTTGAGGTCTCCACCCATTACGAGGGAAACATGGTTATTTGGGGGGTTGTATTAGCTGGTTTTGATTTATTGGGGGGCCACAACCCTCCGTAATTTATGCCCATGCAGCCACCCCTCTGCACGTGCGTGTGCCTTATCATGACATCAGTCGCGCGGAATTGTGAATCAGCCATGACCAACAGCCTGCACTCTAACAGCTAACCTATACTTTGATCTTGCACCTTGCAGTGGTGCCTTTAATTCTACTCTCTAATCGCTCACCAGGGGAACGACCTTCCTGCTCCAAGTGAGAAAGTATGATTACTTCCATTCCTATTGTTCTTCATCTGATCTCTAGTAGACTTGGCACTTTCAGCCAACCGCCCCTGGTCAGTCGCAATAATCTCACGAAGTATTTGTTAATTCAGCATCATTTGCATCCGTCTCGCTGCGTTATGATTTAATTTAGTTCGGATTACCGTAACACAGTTGTTGATTCAAATCTGAACATTTAGGAATACTGAAGAGGAGTTTTCTAGAAACTAAGTATTCGTACTTTCTGGCATTAGACTCCCTCATTTCTGTGAACCTATTCGGTCAGAGGAACACAGTTAAGATACATGTTAATAATTCATATATACAGAGCACTGGAAGTGCAAACTCTCACTATTTTGGTATTTTTTAAAACATTAACCATTATTGTAAGATTTTATATAGAAGGCAATCTTCGACCTGCAGGTAACTTTACACACGGTTCCGTAAAGAATGCGAAGTTAATTAAATACATGTAGCACAACCGTATACGTTTCGCTTGCATATGTTAATAAATGTCCAGTTTTAAATGGGCCTACTCATGGACTCTGATCGTTTCCCCTGAGGACTAACAAACATGAGTACAACAATTTAACATGGGCTGTATCTGAAATTTGAACATAGTTGAAACAGAATGACACATTCCTTATCTCATATTACTGAGTTTTCCGTATTTCTATCTGAATTACGAACGTATTTTACTAATTATTTTGTATTGTCCGGATTATTAAGGTAGTGGCTTAAAATCACAAGTGGTTCAGCACTTAGGCTACAAGTAACATTTTGTTATTTCGACTCATCTTCTGGTGACAGTATCAGTTACTTGAGCGCAAAGACATGTGATTGACGACTATGAAAGGTGATCGTTTTAAGATAAGAGGGCGTCCTCCAGGCTTTAAACAAAGGACAAGCCAGCCTACCGATCAAAGTACTTAACGCAGTTGCAGGTGCGCAGCATCAGTAACCTGCAGGGATAGACCAGAGGAACTTCACTACTCCTGGGAAGTTGCACACCTGAAACCCAGCGAAATTAGACATAAAACAAAATTTTAAAAAATGAACGACGGCCATCAGAATATATACGAAAGTATAGACGACGGCAATCTTTATGCGACTCCTCATAAAAATGCAAGCAGTGAGACTGAATCCCACTATGAGAACCAAGGCGCTATATACGAAGAGCCAAATGTGGCGAAAGAAGCAGCGCACGGTGAGATAAAATTGCATGAATTAGACGAAGGTGATGAAAGGCGTGAAGACCGAGCATCGCCCGATTATATCAACATTCGACCGGAGAGCCAGAACGGCGACTCGGATTCGTCGGACCTGGACGAAAGGAAAGCGTTTGAAGGCAATAAATTGTCAGCCTCATCTGAGGACGAAGGTGTGCAGGAGTCGCCTCGTTTAGCGGCCAAAGCCAACGGGGTTAAGGGTGAGCCACCTTCTTTGACATCTTCCGAAGACGGGGAGCCGGTTCGAGGGGACCCCTATGATGACCCGAGTGCAGATATGGCTGAGGAAGAAGAGGAGGAGGAGGAGAAAGAGGTGGACAGGATCGATGAGGGGATGCTGATGGCGTATAGCCTGGAGTCCAGCAAAATCTCCGAGCCCGAGGAGGTGGTTGATTACAGCCTTCACACACCCATCAACAGCAATGAAGAAAAGATCGCCGATCCAGATCAACCAGAAGTGGTACTTTTCGTTAAGGTAACGTCTTTTACAATACTGCCCTCATATATTCAGGCTTAAGAGTTCAAGAGATGGCTTACACATGGGAAACATTTTTATGAATATATTTTCCGAACTGGTAAAACTTCAACAGTAGTAGTGTACGTATCAGCATTCAGAAATTACTAGTCTCAACGACATGAGAGACGCGATTAGCAATACTTGTTGCGTGGAAGTGTACGAATTCATACAAAGCATTCTGTGAAGTCGTCCATTTTTTTACATTTGCTTTATCTTGATCAATGTCATATTAAATCTGTCATGATGCATTGCTGTTCTCAGTCGTGAATTCAGTGTAAAGCCCCTTTTCCTGAATTTATAAAAAGTGACCTTCAAGACGTTGTCTTCATTTACAACATGGACCTTTGAGAACCTCAGCCAGTTAGTCCGTGTAATGATTAACATTTATTAAGCCTTAGCAGTTACACCCTATACCACACTAAAAGAAATATCACAGGTCTGGTTTTGGGATTCTGTTTTAACTGGACAAGATACTGAGCCTGGTACTGAGCCTATGATATTGGGGAAATCAGGTCACCCCCCCTACACACACACATACACACAGTACCCATACACCTATTTACAATATTAATTGAATATTTATACACCATAGAAAATACATTTACATATCATGTATCACTATGTTACAAGTACATAGTTCAGGGTTCAAGGAATGGAATTAGCCTGATTAGGAGTTTTACAAGTCTGGAGTTTTCTTTGTCTGCTGTGAATCTGCCTGGACGTTCACCAGATCAGCACTCCTAACACATACCTCCTTGTGCTTTGTTGCGTGTGAACCGACGTGCAGACATCCAGAACCTGAGATTTGTGGCTGATGAACTTTGTTAAGATCGTCTAATCATTAACCTGCTGACTCCACAGCTGCAGAAAGGAGGTTGGACATCATAGTGAAACAAATTAACCCGAGCAGTTATCCATGGCTGGTTCTTAGTGAAAGAACAAATAAAAAAGAGAAGCTCTACTTTTGAAATGGTTCTACGATACATAACAACTCACTATCGTACCTATTCACAATGTTTAGTTTCAGTAACAGCTCACCTTAGGGTTACTTGGAACAGGTAGAGTGAGGTAATAATCTGAGTGAAGGTTACGGCGTTCAAAGCTATCAGAACTGCTCTGGCTCAGTTATCAGAAGGGCCAGCTAATCAAGGTCTAATTAATGATGTTAGCATGAGCTTTGAATGACAGCATTGACATCATTTAAAGCTTTAGTGTGGGTGGAACATGTAATCATTTGGTTTGAGTTTATTTAACTTTATAACTGCACTGCGTTCATTCATAACCTATCAAATTTAAGCTTTTATTGTAGCATGTGTTCGAGGTTCGTATTGATTTTTTTTTTGTGCCACATCTGTATGGGTGGGGGGTGGTTGGGGGGGTGTTGTTGGAGAATGGGTACAAGGAGACAGAGGACAAATAGCAGCACAATATAAGAATAAAAAGACATGGGTAATAATTTAACTGGTATTGGGATATGGGGGTGAAGTGGTCACCTATGCAGGCCTTGCAGTTCATGCACATTGACAAATTTACAATATAATGGTATCGAATGTTGAAAAAGTGCAGGAAGTACATTGATAATGCAGTATTGCACGCAATATGTTGGTTGCAGGACGGACATGTACAGGTCACCAGTTGTTCGCTGACCTATTGTATTGTGGAAAGAAGCCATCACTGAGGGGAGGGCGGGAGCGTGAGGACAACGTGAGCAGGGTGGCTGGCATCCTGGTGATGGACTCGGCCCTGTTCTGGCAGCAGGAGTGGTGGATGGATTGCAAGTGGGGAAGATCTGTGCCAATCATCTTCGAAGCTATTCGCATAGGCCTGTGCAAAACTGTGAGGTTCTGAGCCATTGGATTACGCATCCACACCATGATACTTCTGGTCAAGATGCTCTCGATGGTGCAGTGGTAGAGGTTCGTAGGAGCTTCGCTGCCTACCTCAAAGCTCTTTAGCTTCCTCAGGAAGAATAGCTTTTGCTGGGCCTTCTTGAGGTTGCAGCTGTTGTTTAGAGATCAGGAGAGGGAGCCAGTGATCTGGACGCCCAGAGGGAGTCAGTGACCTGGACACCAAGTAACCTGAAGCTGCAGAGAGGAGCTCGTCAATGAATGTTGGATAATGAAGGCCTCTGATCTTTCTGAAGTTGATGATGATCTCCTTTGCCTTCTCAGAGTTGTTTTTGTGGCATTATACAGTCAGGAAGCTGGGGAAGAAACCAACATCGCATAATAATATATAATAGCATATAATGCTTGTTATTGTTGCAAAATATTACAGGCGTTTCATTATATTTTATTATCAATTTGTAGCATTTAAAACACTGAGTTGCATTTTATTATCTTTCTTGATATCGCCCAAATGCTGCTTCGACCTGCTGGTACCGTTCTTAAAAATGTTTTCTCACAGTGAACATACCTCGTACATAGCCAGTGAACACGTCTTCATCTTCCCTTTTATGGTCAAGGTTTATGAAATATTGCCAGAGCCACAAACAAGCTCTCGCTTGTCAGGCAGTTTAATGGTCTAGCTGTGGCAACCACAGTGGAAATTAACTGTAGAGAAATGTAACACCATTGCACCTTGGGCGTTTGTAATAATAATTAGTTAAATATTTATACTGTTTTATTTTAAAGTGACAAATAAGTCATATACATTACAGTGCAAAAGTCAGACAGTCAAAGGAAATGTTTAAAACTTTTTCTGAGTAGTAAGTACACATTTGCCAGGTACAAAAAACACAATTTAAATTTACAACGCGTGCAGATATTTCCTATTTTCTCCAAAACTGGCTAGATGAATACTCCTACAGTTCCCAAACCTTTCCCCAGGGAATTCCATGCATTCATTAAATTTCATCAAAAGCTCACTTAATCAGTCAATTAACTAATTAGTCAGTGAGGTATTGATTAACCATACAAGGTGTGATAATGGTCAAGGAAGAGAATGCATGGAGGTATTGGATGGTTGCTACACATATTGGGGTGACATTAGGGGACGTTTTGAAATGGTTAAGCTAACACACTTTATTATAGACGACACAGTTTTACACCAACCTAAAAATCTTCCATCCATCCATCCATTATCTATATCGCTTTGTCCATCTGGGTTGCGGGGACCTGAAAATCAATTCTACATCATTTTCTTTGACTGCTTAAAGCTTTTGCACAGAGTGATCTTTTCTTGTAAGTGCCATTCCGTTCTGGCTGTTCCTCTGCCTAGTGCCCTATGCTCTCTGGACTGTAGCAATGATGCTCTAGTTGCGGGTTTCAGTTTGTACCCAGCACTTCTTGTTTCTGTGTTTGTAACAACTAAGAATTGATTTGTTGTGGTTTCACCTGAAAAAATATTTTCAGAGGAGATCCTCGACCACTAGAGGTCTCTGCCTTTATTTAATTAATTAATTCATTTATTTATTTTCTTCGCGCCTTTTTAGACGCGTTGCTGGTAGTTTGGTCCGAATAGCTCGGTCAATTTCCAGACCGAGTAAGAGAATGTTATTGATGAGTGGCTTCTGCTGAATAGCGTTTTCCTTTAGCGCTGCACGGCGTCCTGCACTGACTTTGTTTTTAATTATATTTTTGTCACAGCTATTGTCCAGGATCAAGTGGACAAGCAAAAAAAACTACGTATCGATGGGTTTCGGGCAACGATGTGATTTAAAACGTGTAACATTTTTACTCATGAGTATTTTGATTGTTTTGCTATAAAATGTAAATGCAAAAAATGTTTTACTAATACTAAATTAAATAATGACTATCTGTGGAAAAGTATATTAGATCCATCTGAACAATTCCATTTTTTTGTGACTAGAAGTTGGCTATTTGCCTAATTTAGCTTAACAAAATCCGTTTCTTTTGTGTTTTTAAAGTGGTCCGTAGCAGAGAATTTATCAGCTATGAGGGAAATGTTTTTTTCTCACTCTGCCAGGCATGTAATGGGAAGACAAGCTGTAATCTAACAGAGTAAACAATATTTTCAAGTGCGATAAAGCCCAAAGCGGAGACTCAGTCAGTGTGGGCCGCCCCCCACCCCAAGCAGGTCGAGCGTACTGTAAATACCACGTGACTTTCCCTCCAAAGTCAGGAAAGGACATTGAACTTACTGGCGGGGGCGGGGCAGAATATCCGTGCGCCTCTTGTGATTGGCTCTCCGGTCATTCTAAGAATATTGTCTGTATATAAAGACCTGGCGGTACATAAAGTACTAAATAGTGGTGGTGTCGTGCCATAATCGTGACATATAAAGATTTACGAGTCCAGGTCCCTTATTTTAATCAAAAAGTCATTGCACAAGGTGAACAGATAACTTACTACAGACAAATAGAAAAAAATAAAAAATGACTGCTTGTTTTCTTTTAGATAATTATCAGCGAATTACAGAATGCCATTTGATAAATCATTTAAAACCACAATGACTGCCACATGCACTGTACATCCGTCCAACAAGAATCGGTTCAATTGTAAAGCCCGGAGGACAGGCTGATCTGACTACCAACAGCTATTTTTACAGACCTATATTTCTAATATCCAGGAGGGCCCGGCCGGGGAAAAAACACGAAAACCAATTCGTACGCTAAAACCAGTGCGCCATGAATAATTCAATAAGGAATCTTCCTTTTCTGGTTTCCCGAGGCTGATCAAATGTAACTGGCCAGAGATTGGCAGTGCGGACTGCTTGTGGGGCCGTTTCAATAATGCATTAAAGGCCGATCCATCATACTGGGAAGAGGCCACCCAACACAGGTCTATAGGATTTTATCCGACTCGGTGGCTCTACGGTTGGGAAACCTCTCCGTGCCGAGTCAGCTGCTTTTCGGTACACTGAGAAGCACTTAGGCTTACTTTTATAATCAATCAACATTTTAGTTACAGTAAGTTACTTTAATGTTGCTTAATGGTGGATTTATAAATAAATAATGTGATATATTACATTTTATTTATACTGTACGTGTGTGTCCG